CGTCCCCATTTCTAATATAATACTATAACATTACAGGACTATATACAATCAGAGTAACAGCGTTATTTATTGTTATTGTTATTATTTTATGTTAATAATATTTCAATAATATTATATATATTATAATTATTATAATCATTATTATTCTTCTCACACACACACACGCATCTCTAATCTAATCCTTTTTCTTCAATAAATCGGCGCGCCCGCGTCGTGTTGCTCATTATGTATACGAAGTGCTTAAGGCGCAAAGTATATAACCCGTTATATCCTATTGTAAAATTTGTCACTAGGATGCGAAAGTTCGAGAGATTTTAGCATAGGCCTTCTCAGGCGATCCTGTTGTCTTATCGACGACGCGCGTACAATTATTCGCGTGCACTATTACTTAATACAAGGGAAAACATAAAAAATTAAAATGGATTAAACTAAATCTTTTTTGATCTATTATCTATTTCATCTTTCTCTCAAGACAAATTAGCCGATCTTAATCTTGAATGAAAAGATTCGTCTAAGAAAGCTTCTTGCAAATCTCGCAAAGGAGTGTTTGAAACAAGTAGAACTCTATTTTATTTCTCCGACAAATTCGTCAGTCTTTTAATGACTGTTTCAATTCCGAGAGAATTTGATTTTGGAATATATAATGGACCACTTTTAGTTTTTAATCGTATCCATGTGTTTGTGTGTGTGTGTGTGTTTTTATATGTCGTTTGACGTCGCCCAATTTTCCTCGGCTCAAATTTCTCCCTGTATTCAATAATCATATCATCTTTGTATATTCATTTCTTTCTATTTTCTATATCTTTTTCCTTCCATAAGAAACGTAATATCTTTCATTTTTTTATGAACTGAGAAAATATTTATAAATGTAAGACAAATATATATATATATATATATATAACTTTAAAATATGGTATAGATGACATTTGTAATTTTTAAATAAATAATTATTTAATTATTTGGTAAATAATAAGTCGGACATAATCATAGCAAAAGCCTGAACGAGAATAAAATAACCAGCAAAATAGTAAAAATATTATATATTAAAATTATTATAGACAATATTAGAGATTGAATGTATATTGATCAGAAACGTTAATTAGGCCAACCATATGATTCTAACAATAAGATTACAATTTTTATTACTTCGTTCCGATTTTAGCAATATGATCGATTAGTCGATTATAAAAAACTCACAAAGGATAATTGACATTAAATAATTTATACTAAAATCACTAATTGTAAAATATATTTGTCAGGTGACAATTGTACAACATCCTGTATTCTGTGGCTTATTTACGGTAAAATGATAAATGTAGAACTTCAAATATTGACAACATTTTTCAAAAGTTTCAAACATGCTGTCAATATCTATTGTCATTTTGTATTGTCATAAACAATGTAATAGCTGTTGGAAATTTTTGATTTAGTATTTTTCTATATTTTTCGAACATTCTTGAACGTTCTCTATATATATATGGACGTTATGGTTAATATTTTATTATTTTATTACAAGTTACACAGGTGACAAATTCAAGCCAAAGAAATAATAGCGACGCATTTTTCTGTACTAAGTTCTTTTCCTTTTTTTCCTTCTCATATAATTGTCCGTTTTTTCGCGATGAAATGTGGTCGCAGCATCGCTTCGATCCAATTAGTGGATTACAAATTAAGCGATGTTACTATGAAATTATTGCACATTGAACGAACAATTATCGCTGAGTCTTTGAATACTGCGAGATTCTTTTCTTTTTCATGAATGCTAATATAACAATCTGGAAATTCATTATGTCTTACTTAATTATGAATTAACCCTTTTGTCATCTCATACATATCCTCCGTGCGTATGTGTGTATGTATGTGTATGTATATAATCCGTGTATGTATTTATATATAATTATAGAATATATATGCATGTCCTGCATTTTTATCATCTTCTTTCTGCAAATCGATAAATTTAGCGCATATTTTCTTGTTAATAATGGTAGAGAGATTGATGATTAATAATCTTCAAATTATAAAAATTGTAGTAAATATTTTTATTTAATATTAAAATGAATTTTTTAATAGAATTTGTCATTAAAAATTTAATTATCAATATTTAATCACAAAAAATATAAAAGTTGTTTCAAATTAATCAAAGAATTCGCGGACGAAAGAAACGGCGCAAGTAACTAGCATGATACTAGTAACTAGCATGACATCTCGTATGCAATATTCATTTATTTATTTATATATTTATATACAATATTAATATATGTATATTAAAATTATATAATATATATATATAAATATATAATATTATATATATATGTTTCTCTCACATTAGTGCCTATTTATTGTTAGATAAGGAGGAATGTAGTCTTAGTGGTCGTGATGAATTGAGCGAGATAAAGAAAATTATTCGAGCCAGCCGGCACGTTATCGTCTGGTGTCCGACTGATAACTATGTATAACAGGAAACTCTATAAATTTTCGACACGGCGGAAAAAGTACAATTTTCCGTGCCTTTCACTCTCGGAGTTTAATGTGAGTACGATTAGCTAGGCCTTTCTTCATCGCGCTTACGGCTAAGATTATAAGTGGGCTAAATGTCCTCGCGTTTCTTCTCACGTCCTCGGTTATCTCGATAATAATTAGCATCGCTTAGGCTATTGCTCGTAGGCGAGTTGTAAATGCTTAACTTCTGTTCTGGTTAATTATTTCGGTACTACGCTCAAATCGTAATAATAATCGGATATTTATTAGAATGCCCGCTTATTGACAGCGACAGTTTAGGATCTTGACGAATTTTGATTGCTTTGAAATGTGTGAATTGCGTAAAATGATGCGAACAATGAATATATATTAATGATACGCTGAAAGAAAAGAATAAAGATAAATGATATTTCAAAGAATCGATACTTCTAAAATTATCGTTAACTCGTATATATATATATATATATATATATATATATATATATATATATAATATAATAGCAATATAAAATAAAAGAAAATTTCCAGAGGAAAATTTTCATCGTATATATACACGCGCAATCCTGCGAATTCATTCTACAGTCGCGCGTATTTGCTACGAAAATCATCTGCCTTACATTTAACTTTACAAGAATCAACCGCTACACAAATGCACACTTTTACGAATGGGCGAAAATGCTGAAGAACCACAGTCTTTGTGAAACTTAGCATATTGAAAGAGGATTAATTATTCAGCGCAGACAAAAACTTTTTTTTTTTTTTTAATTCCGTCGGTTCGGCGCTTCAGGCCACAAAACGCATGTGGGAAAAGTCTAGCTTAACCTTCCGTCATATACGGACGCGTCGGAGCGTCAGACATACTTGATTTTTATCCCGTGAGGACGAGAAGAGCCTAACAGAAGGCCGAATATCTTCCTCCGTAGCCTTTTAACTACAGTATGCAATATATCTATAAAATACGTTCTCCTATTGACATTAATTGCATTCAGCGGAAACAACACTGTTAGGCAATCGTAAAAATAAGAACCGGCGATCGTACTTCTTATACTATCGCCACAATTTGTTCAGTATCTTAACAGTGAACGATTACCACGTAATGATCTTAGCCAATTATAAAAATTATGAATTATGAATGATATAAATTAGATACGGTTTTTTTTTTTCATCGTCACACTGTGAGTTACAAAGCCACTGGTGTTTCTCGGTGTCATAATTCGACACCTCGTTTTCGAGCGCCGTGAATCGAGCATAGGTCCGTCTCCTGCAGGAAATCGAATCGAGCCGAATACTTAGAAGATAAATTGAATTCTCTCTCGAGGATTTAAGAGTCGCGTCTATATATTCTAACGTACCTCCTATTTAAACGTATCTTAAACGTACTCTTTCTCAAGCGTACTCTCTCTCTCGCTCTCTCTCTCTCTCTCTCTAACTAGTTTTATCGTCAGATACGCACGCTACGATGATTGTATATACTCCGGGGCCTCATATCACTTATATTGTCGCGAGATATAATCTTTCAGTATGATATTTCTAACGTAGTAGAGTCACCCGCCTTGTCATCGATCAATTGATGATTTGACAGTCGACGGTGTATTAGAAATATCAACGGAGATCCGCGGGATTCGCTCATATATATTATAATACACGGTAGAATATAATACATATGTTTTACTTTTATATGTATATGTATATCTGTGTATATATATTGTACATATATATATATGTATATATATATATATATATATATATATATATATATATTTGTATACACACATACACATCACTCTCTATGCTTTCTTTCCCTCGTCGGGAATCAATTCCTTACGACAAACATATATGTATATCGTCCCTGCTTCTCCGTCATTTACATACATACATACAAGTATTTACGTAGTTTAGCGGAACATCAACAATTTACTTTATAAGGCCCAAATATTGTGCGCTACTTGTTCAATCAAATACGCGAAAGAAGTTTCTTTTTTTTTTTTGTTTTTTTCTTTTTCTTTTTTTTTCTTCTGCGAAAGTGAATCTGCGCCCTCGGTTCGTTCGATCATGCTCGATTCACGGAGGGCGCGTGACCGCTTTGATCGATAATCAGTGCTGAAAATTAAAATCGTCAAATAAATATTAAAAGGAATTTAATTTATTAATTCGTAAATTAAGAAACACTTGTTTCGAAATTTTTTAAGCTTTTATGTAGCTATCGTTAATCATTATAATTTAAAAGTTATGATCTTCTATCATTCATTGTATATATGTGCGTTGTAATTTTGATTATGTGAAAATATAATTATTGTTTACACATATATGTAATAACGATACATTCTTTGCGTTCTGGGTAATCTAATTGAAAATATGAATTACAAAATCAATAATAATTATTATCGTATTATTATGCTACTTATATATCTTTTATTATGCAAGTAGTAAGTGTCAATGCAATAATAATAATAATTTTCTTCAAATAACATTTTTTTATTTTATTTGTAGAATAATAGTTATATAAGCGAAACAAATTTTTTTTCTTGAAGTGTCTGCTTTTAATTGTATATTGTGTGACACATTATTCGCGAAAAAATCGTCTTTACGTCTTTCTAACCGTCTTTTTCATATTCTTATGTAAATACTTTACTAATTCTAATTTATTCGCAATACCGTGAGACAATTTTTTTTGCGTCACCTGTAATTCTGAAAGGTACAGTTAACAAACAAATTCTTAAAGGTAGTAAACAAGAACTCGATATCTTGATTGACACGATAAGAAAATAATCAAGGCATCAAAGATTACAGATCAAAGATTTAACATTACAGATCTGTCCGAGTTTTTGCATTTCGATTTTTAAATGATAAAATGCACAGGTTAAATGATCGAATAATATATCGCTTTCGTTATAAAAATTATAAATGAAGAATAAAATAAATAATATTTGATATCGAAGACTCGATCTTCGCATCGATTATCTCTCGAAGGGTCATTAGCGCCGCGTCTCGACGCTCAGCTGATGTCGGCGACCGAGGCGAAGGTCACCGCAATTCTCTCGAGCGAGGGATTGAAGCGGAAAAGCGAACGTTCTGTACGCGCTCGTTATATCCGAGCTGGCTCGCAGTTGTTCCGGATGGATCTTGACACGACTTTGCCTACTCGCGATCGCGAACGATACAGTATCTCGATCTTAGGATTAAAAGCTGAAGCCTAGCGCAATCCTAGGTCAGCAATCCGATCGTCGATCTAGCTGTGTCAACGAGAGACGCCGATCGTCTCTCCTCGAAATTATCAGACACGGCCCCAGAACAAATCTCCCTCGCAATGGCCGGTTCTCCGCAAGCGTCGAGTTTGTCATCATCGATGATCTTCTTTTCTTCGTGAGCTTTCATCTTTCTCTTTTCTCCCGGCGTGTGCAAATAAACGGATCGACGCGCATCGAACGACTATGGGAGATTCCCCGGAGATTTCCCTTCCAGAATGCCTTGTGTCAGATTCGTTTCCTTTCCTATCTTCCTCTAGATCCACGGCCCTCAAGTGGCGCTGTCGAGAACAATGGGCTTTTTGTTGTCTTTCTGACGACCGACCAGCTGGCGAATTTGCGCGGCGATGCTCGTGGACGGTCGGTCGGTCTCCTCGATCGTTGAGGTAGCCAGGACCACCGCGAGAGTCGGCGACGACGATGATGAAGAGGAAGAAACGGTGGTGATGCCATGGTGATCGATGGTGTTCGTCGACTGGCTGCGTCGCGACGGCGTCCTCGCCGTCGTCGTCGACGATGCCGTGGACCATTCTGACGCCGTCGACGACGTCGTCGAGCCTCTGACATACTGTTGGTATCTCGCGGTTGACGACGCTTCTTGCAATCTAATAGCATAGGCGTCTCTTTGTTCAGCTCGCGACACGGCCAAACCTGTTGCCTGATCCCGTCTGAGACTGTGAGGTTTCTCGTTACTGATGGTGTAGGAGGATGACGAGTAGTGCGAGGGCGACGACACGGGAGAGGTGGTGCTCGCGACGGAAGTGGTGACGGCGGTAATGATGGTGCGTGTAGTGCCGGATGTGCCGGTGACCGTTGGTAGAGCTGCTTTCGGTGCACCGTAGACCAACGACTGGAACGCAGAGTCCGATGGATGACGTACGAAAGGCTCAGGAGCAGCGACTGGAGGCCGTTGTTGCTTGTCGTCACCAGATCGCCAGCGCAGCCGTAATCATAGCTGCAGCAAAGCTGCCCGTCCTACGAAGAGGTTCGTGGGAGATTGGGTTAGCCACGGCGGAGGGAATTAGAAGGTTTTTTTTTTTCAATGTCGACTTTGGTTCACCGACTTCGGGTTGGAAGGTCTTGGCTGGCGTGACGCACGAGAGAAACGCGATAGTGAGTACCGAGATTCCGAATATATGCCACGTGTCGAAGATAACAAAAATGCAAATATATGTTATGAGTAGGAAATGAGCTTATCGTGAGCTAGATCGAGTGTTCGGAATAAAAATAGGAAAGAATTTTTTTTTTTATTATTTTATATTTTTCTTTGCTGGAATGAAATAATATTTCTGAAAACTTTTGAATCATTACAATTGAAAATTATTAATTAATTAATTCACACATTTCTTTCTTTTTTATTCCATTTTTACAAAATTGTAAAATTAAAAATTTTATATACTTATATGTATGTTTCTCTTTCAATAATATTATAATTTATGTTTTTAAAATAAATTAATACAATTGTCGCTCGTATATTGAAAACAAAGTGATAAATATAAGGCCAACTTATCGAGCTGAATATTCGAGATGTTCAGTCAACTACCATTTATTACATGTATAAATTATAAAACTACAGTCATTATATTAAAACTAACGCAAATTACAATCATTCTATAAACGTTTCGACCGCACGCGGTCTTCTTCAGTATAATTATTGAAATATAAATTCTTACAATTCACATAATATCGAAAATCAAAAAGAAACCTTCTCAGGAAGGACGTTATCATTTTATTCAAACCACCCACTATGCCACAAAATAGGAATAATATATAACCTTGTAGACAGATGTCTATTGCTATCACATCCACTATTTTTTAATAAAAATTGGAGTTAATTATTAATATACTCAGAAGCAATGGTTACCCTCTTGATCTGATTTTTAACAAATTAATCATCGGATAGAACACATCATATCTAAGGGGAGCATTATAGAGAGACAGGCCAACATAGAAAGAACAAAAAGTATAAGAAATGACTCGGTCAATAAAAAATTCTTTGTCATTCCGTATAGATGGGATCTCAGAAATGATTGTTTCCTCGGTAAAAAATAAAAATTGTATGGTAGGGTATAGATGTCTCAACAAACTGGACAATATTATTAAAGCGCAGAAAGATAAAACTAAACATCCATGCAATTCGAATGTGGTTTATAAGATCAGTTGCAATAATTGTAATGCATCTTATGTAGGCCAAACAAAGAGGCAATTGCAGACGCGAATAAAAGAACATAAAAATAATATTAGGTTGGACTCAACGAAACATTCAGTAATTTCTGAACACATAATAAATGAACATCATACTTTTAATTGGGACAATGTTAAGATCATGGACAACGAAAATATTATTATAAAAGACTCATTTCTGAGATGCTACATATCAAGGAACAAAAAATGGACTAAATTTAAACAAAGATACTGAGTTACTTAGCGAGTCGTATTTTGATATTTTGGATATATTAGCGAACAAGAATAATAATAGGACAAATAGGACATTAACGAGTAAAACATAGATATTAGATCATATATAAACACGCACGCTCTCCGATCAAGTAGAGTTTAAAATGAGCTGTCTTTCTGTATTGTTGGTTTGTTATGTGTCATCCTTAATAACTGTTAATAAGTAGCAAAATTATCAAGAAGAACGATGATAGGTAAGCATACTACCAATTGTAGGGGATACATATTATAATTTGGACATGCGTTGATCGGTAATTTTTTATAAATCGCAGCGCCTACGGAACGGGTTAATTTCTCGCATATTAACGATGAAACTATCCGAGATCTGAACAAAATCAGGGATCATATCGAGGCGAACATTGTTGGACAGGACGGATTGAAACACGCGTTAATTACTCAAAAACTCTTGATTCTGAATAACTATAATTAAATTTCGATATTATGTGAATTGTAAGAATTTATATTTCAATAATTATACTGAAGAAGACCGCGTGCGGTCGAAACGTTTATAGAATGATTGTAATTTGCGTTAGTTTTAATATAATGACTGTAGTTTTATAATTTATACATGTAATAAATGGTAGTTGACTGAACATCTCGAATATTCAGCTCGATAAGTTGGCCTTATATTTATCACTTTATGTTTTAAATTTAATTGTTGTGTAAAGAAATTTTTATTTCTCAATAAAAAATTGATTAAGTACGCATTAAATAATAGCAAAATATTGTATTTATATTTTTTGGATATTTTAAATAGATTATTTTAATTCTCATAATTTATATTTTTCTAAATAGAAAAAATTTCGAAGGAATAATTTGTCTAATCGGAAAAAATGAAGAACGCTAAAAAATGGTTGAATTATCATATATTATTATTCTCGCAGTCGATTGTCCAAGACTTTCCGACCTGTAGTGGAGAAAGCAGGTATTTGTTCACATAGTATGTAATTCATTGTTTCGTAGAACAATACCGCAACAGTTCCGCCGTGGCGAGATAATAAACCAATGTGCAAGAATCCGACCCCCGTTTTACTTCCCTTGAAACTTTCCTTGCGACGTTCCTCGCACCCGTACCGATGGCGCCCTTTTCTCTCGATTAAGAGATGACTTTGCAAGTGGTTACAATCACAATTACAGTAACTGTAAAGATACTCATGCTGACATTCGAAGGGGGAGGAGCAAAACAATGAATTTCCATAATATGTCTTTGATACCTGGCGACAAAATTTCTAAGTTTTCTACTACTTTCCGCTACGATTCTGGCGAGATACTTTTCTACATAATGTGCATATGCGTTAATTGCATATTGCGTTATAAAATTGTACTGGAAAATTAATCATTTCGATGATAGATTTAATTTGATCAAGAAGTTCTCAAGTTCATTTTTTCTCATACATAATTTCTATCTTGCCATAATCGAGATTGGATAAATCGATACAAAGAAAGAAAGAGACCTCTGGGTGCTTCTATCGAATCTCGAATGCAGATCGGAGGAGGGTGCAGTGGAGGCTCAGGTGCGACAACGATTTAATAATAAAAAAAAAATAATAAAAAAGATAGAGAGAAAGACACACAAAAAAGAAATACTGTCGCGAATCCAAGACGCAGTCCGCGTATGTGTGTTGTGTGCACATGTGTATGTGTATGTGTGTCTGCCACCTCGTGCGCCATGCTCCTCGATCGACACAAGAAAGACCCGCCGATCGAACGGATTGCCTTCTCTTTTATCTTTTTGCATGAACGACTGTGCGTCTCAGAGTGTGCGTAAATAAAAAATGAGAGGAAGTGATGCGCAACTTTTGTGAGGGAAGAATATGCGTAAGGTGCATTGATTTAATGCATGCAGAATTCGAAGAAAACATGCATTCGCGACCGAGATATAAGATAGCACGTGTTCTCAAGTTGAAATGTGACGATAAGAGGAACATGCAAATTATCTTTCGTGTATAAAGGCGCTCTATATTTATCAAGAATATTTGTCTATTTCAGATAATAAATCAACAAATGGTTAGAAATGTCAATCATATTAATCGCAACTATTAAAATGATTTATAGAGAATACAAGATGATTTAAGAACAACGACGATTATTTCAAACATCATCGATGATCAATTATTTTTGTTTAATAAGTTATATTTAATAAAGAATTTTCTTGACGAATATTAATTTAAAATCCACTCTCCTTTAAACGCGACGAGATGCACATGCTCGCGATACATTTATATATCCATCCTCGAATAATGATAAAACTTTTGGTAATAAGCGTGCGACGATCAATCTAGCGATAACGGATCCTAATAGGACATTAAAGAGAAGAAACGAACAAGTAGAAAAAACTACACAGTATCGAGCGAGGATACGAGACACGAACGCATTAAAAAGAAATGAAAGAGGAAGAGAGAAAGAGAAAAAGAGAATGAAAGAAAGAGAAAATATAAAAATCCAAACTGAAAAAAAGAAATAGGCAAAAAGCAAGCGTGAGAAAGACTAAGAAAGCACTGGAGCACTCCGTAGTCGTAGTACATTAATCGGCAATAAAGACAGAAGAGAAGAGGCAGGTAGTAGAGATTATAGGTGAGGTAGAAGTGACGTGATTACCGATGCACACAACACGCGCTATTGCTCACCAATTGGGCGCAGTACGGCACCTGCAAGGATACCCATTGTTAGGCTACATGAGACTAGTCAGTCACGGGCAAAATGGCGGGGTTAATTTACAACAGCATGGTCACAGGCAGACAATGTTTCCCCGACTGCAATTTCCACCCTTCCCTTCTCCTTCTCCTACGTATATTCATCCCTTATATCGCCTTATCTCGCGTGACCAGGATCTCTCTGTGCGCCGCGCCGATCCACATCCACGATCGTCGCGGCTTGGAAGATCGATCCGATTCACCCAGGCGCCAGTAGAACCAGCCGAATTCCACGTCTCGGGTGGTCCCCGGCTAATCGTTGCCAATATCACCGGATCAAATCGTATCTTGATCGAACGTTCGGCGAACAACGAGTAGAATAGACTGACGTTGGCGATCAAGCGATCACTCGATCGCGGATCGGATCGGCGGGCTCGAGATCGTGGTGCATCCTCGAGAACTGTCGTTTTTGATTAATCACTTTCGATTAATAAACATTCATAAAATGATCCATGCAGGGCCGACCCGAAGCACGCGTTAATCGTGAGATCTCGGTTTGATCTCGGTTTGATACATATACGGGGTGTTCCGGATCTGTGTTATCTTTCAGCCAAGGATCTTCAAACTGATTTCAATTATCGTTAGAAAACAAAAGGTTCTTAGGTATTAAGTTTAACGAATTGCATTCATTTTTGGTGATTTATTTAGTGGAAAATTGAAGATAGTTTAATTGATTCTTGGAAAGCTAACATTTTCACACGTGGACTTTCTGTTCGATTTGTACATTTTGAATTTTTTACAGTCTGAAAAATAAATTAATAAGCATGAAACACCCTGTATAATATTTTATCGTCACCCTAATTATCATATCTAAAGAATGTTTTATAAAAAATATAAAATATTTTTTTTATGAATTTAGTGTAGGTGTGTGTGTGTGTATAGGTGAACTTTCTGACTATAAGTTTTATAGGCAATCCAACAATAAATTCTAAATCGTTAAACTATTGCTAAAATTATTTATCACAAATTATTTGCTACTGTTGGCTCATTATTTCTGTAGTTAAAGATTATATTAACTGGAAATCTCTGAAACATAACACTATATATAGGTTTATGTTTAGGGTGACAATATGTAGGATATCGATGATGGGAGCGAAGCATTTATGATGAAGCGAAATAACGAGCTTTCTCGACTTTCAGAGTTTTCTTCGAGACTCAGCCATATGTGCGAACCGGGATTCTCACGTCCGTGGCAGTGTTCGATCGTCTATAGTTTTTAAATGAGTATATGTGATATTTTGATAAACTTCTTTGCAATCCTTTAAATATTTAGTTAAACAATTTTTTTCACACATTTTTAATTTTCTCGGTAAAGTATTGATAAAGTATTTTATAGTTTTCTGTATGAAGAGGCATCAAAAGATTAAACAAATTTTTAATAAACAAAAAATTAATAGAGTAAATTTCAAACAATTATAAATTATAATAGAAAAACGAATTTTTAGGGCTTTAGAAGAAAACAGAGAAAAGAGAGAGAGGGAGAGAGCGAAAGAGAGAGAGAGAGAAAGTCATTTAATGTATAAAATCTAATATAAAATTTATTTTCTCTCACTTAAAGGATGTAAACTAATGACTAATAACGAACGCTGCCACGTGCAAGGCAGGCAACAAAAAATAAATGACATCTAGTTTAGGCTAGCTTGGGGACGCCCCTGGATGTGTATGAAAAAATGTATAAAAATATGTTTTCAATAATTTACATTGATGAGTGCATCTCGCATAGCGCGACGCAATGCTCACCGAGAGAAGAGCTGATTAATAATAATTATAATACAGATAGAACATCAATATTACATCATACATTGCACATTAATATTATATTAATTTTTTTGTGAAATATGAAAGCGTTTCTGATAGTTTTAATCCAAAATTCGGTTAGTTTATGCGGTTGCAAAGTTAGATTTCGATATATATTTTTTTTTGTAATATACAATTTTCTTCTTCTCTCAGCACGTGGTTAATAAAAAATCAGCGTTTAGCTTTGCGGATTTGTTTCGCGTTAATATGCATCGCAGAAACGAACGGCTTACTACGAAAAAAGAACAGTCAGTATGTACCTTGTATTATTCGAGGATTACCTACTGACAATACATAAAACAGAAAGACAGATAGAGAGTAAAGGATTAAGAAAATAAGATGATACGAATGCTTGTGTGTACGATTTCATGTATATATGGCGGATAATTTAATTGGACATATACATATATCATAAGAAGACAGACAGACTATCGTAAAACGTGCGTTATTTAATATCAATTTAATATCAATATCAAAATAAAAAAAAACAATTAATCTTAATACTTTGTGTGAATATGTCTCTATCAAATATTTTATTTGTTAAAAAAGACTAATACGCGAAAATACTACACAATTATTAATAATTTTATTTAAATATAGTAGGACACGCAACACAATTATTTTGTTGAAAAATGACATTTATGATAATGGAATGAAATGCTAATTATTATCGTTATCGAATCAATCTAATATGAAATTGGACCGAGATAAAATTGATTAACAATTCACGTCGATGACTCCGCCATGTATATATAAGTGTACATAATCTGCGATGGACGCCTGTCGCACAGCAATTATTTTGCGTCTTACGTCGACATAATACAACGAGCGCAAATTGAATAGGCATATGACATCCATTAAATTGAGGCAATTATTTCGTTTACTGACCTTGAGCTTTTGAATTCGCGAGAGAGGAAGGCGCGGTGGTTACGTAGAAATCTTATCGGGATGGTTCTCGTTTTCGATTTCTTCGCTATTTTAATCTCATCGCTTTATTAATTATTAAAAAATAAAAAAATATTTATTACGCTGAACGCTCTATTTACGACCGTTTCAAATTTTACGTAAAAATATACGGAAAGATGCTATTCTATATTACATAATTCTCACACTACGCGTCACACATACACAAAATATGTTCCATATAATTTTTTTTATATTAACAGAAAAATAAGTATAGAATTAATTCAGAAAAATAAAAATTCAAGAAAGCCGTTGCGCGACCATCCTTCCTTTTTTTTTTTGTGCCGACAGCGCCGTCCTTTTCCGGCGAATTCCCCTCCCACCCTCCCCCTTTGTCCTACCCTCGTACGGAACCGGATGAAGGACCGACGACGATCGCAGGTCCTGCGACGTGACGGATGTCACGGCCGATCCCTCCTTACCTTGCACTCGCACGTGGTGCACTTGTCGTGGGGGTCCTGCCAAGAGCTACCGCTGTCGTAGACGATGCCAGCGTAACTGCACGGTCGGGGATGACTAGGAACCGTGAGCGAGGTGCTGTTCGCCGACACCTCTCGCGCACAGGGATCGTCCTCGCAGCGCGGGCAACAATCGCCCTCCTCGGTCACGGGATTCGAGCAGGTTACCGGTGGACACTCCATTTGCCAGCAGTCTATTTCGCCGTACTGCAACCAAATGCTGATTAATTCATTGCTTTTTAAATTAATTATGACATTTAATTACAAACAGATTTATGTAATCAAATGTAATTGAAATTTTTTGAGTTTGACTTGATTAATTTTAGAAAGATTAATTAGAGTTTGTTACAATGACGAGATTGATATAAGCTAGATTAATCGAAGATCGCTTAATTAACGATTAATATGATCGAAGGTTAATTGAAGGTTATTTAATTGACAATTGATGTGTGGCGATTACATCGTCACATACTTCCCTGATATTAATAGCGAAAACACGTATATAAATACGGACATACATACATACGAACACTGACTAATAAACATAAATAAAATATAACAGACGAGACGAAAGACGAAAAACATCGAGACGTAACAGAAAAGAAATAAACGGATAGAACATTTTCGAAGCCTATCGAAGGTGAATTTTTAAGGAACGATAGGAAGAGCGTTACACATGCTAGGAGATTCCGCTACCGACAGTCGCCGCGTACAGTCGCACGTTTGTAATCCGCACGAACTTTATATATTCCTGTACCACGAAAAGATTGTTCTTAAAATATATTCAGTATTAACCATCAATCCTCTCTCACAATTATTTGAATTCCCGTCTCGTATCGAAGCGTCCGAGTAATCCGACGACGCCCCCGGTATAACCAAAGTGGTGACCCCGACGTGATCGCGAGCGAGCGGGAATTCGCGATTCTTTTGTGTTCGCGTGAGAGAGCGGTACATTTTTTTTTACTTTTTATTGTGACGACCGGTGAGACGATCTATTCGATCGGACCCGGAAAAGTGACCAGTTTCGTGTAAAAAAAAAAAAAAACAATTTGACATGATTGTGACGCGAGACGATGGAGTGATCGGTTCGCGCGTAGAGACGGAGGCGCGAGCGTACGAGCAGCCGCGTGTGCAAGTGCAGCAGGCAGCCCCGATCACGATGCAGGCGGCCTCGAGTGCGATGCAGGCGGCCAGGTTGGAGCAGCCGCCGGGATACTTTTTCACCGCTCCCGAGATAAACCGTGTTGGCATGCGAATGCCAGAGTTTACGCCTTCGGATCCGGAGCTCTGGTTTAATATCGTTGACCGGAGTTTCCAGGCCGCCGGAATCACGGTCGATGCTACAAAATTCGGCTACGCCCTAACATCCATTGGGCCGAATTACACTGCCGAGGTGCGAGATATCATCATGAACCCGCCTGCGGAGCACGCGTACGAAACATTGAAGACGGAGCTGGTCAAGCGTCTGAGCCTGTCACAGGAGCACAAGACCCGGAGGCTCCTGGAACATGAAGAGATTGGAGATCGCAAGCCGTCTCAATTTTTGAGACACCTCCGCGGCCTCGCTGGAAACGTGGTTGGCGACCCCGTTTTGCGGACGATCTGGCTTAGCCGATTGCTGGCTTACATTCAGCCGCATCTGGTGACGCGCACGGCGGACACGATCGAACAGCTGGCCGATATCGCGGATGCGATCGTTGAGGCGACCCGGGCACCGGCGTTTCAAGTGGCCGAGGCGTCAAAATTTGTGCCACCGCAGACGCAAGGCGCGAGCGATCCCGGGGCCTTGGAAGCCAGGATGGAGGTGCGACTGGCGCAAATGCGGCTTGCGATGCAGCAAGAGATGGCAGAACAGCTGACGGCCATACGTAAGTCGATTGAATCCATTGGCGATAACCGATATCGCGACGATGATCGACGTCGTTCGCGACCTCGTTCGCGTTCACGTTCACGCCCGCGAGCGCGATCCAGCAGCCGTGGTCCACCGGCCAGCGGCGTATGCTGGTATCATTGGCAGTTTGGAGCGGAGGCACGGCAGTGCAGACCACCCTGCTCAATGCAGATGCCGGGAAACGCAGGAGCGGGACGTTAGAGGCGGCGAGCGACCCGGAACATAGTGCGCGCCGCTTATTCGTGACGGACACAAACACGAAAACGAATTTTTTAGTTGACACGGGCGCGGATCTCTGCGTGTTCCCTCGAAAGATGGTTCGAGGGCCACGACAGAGATCGACCTACGAGTTATCGGCCGCCAACGGCACACCAATATATACATACGGGACGGAAAACATAACTTTAAATCTCGGATTGCGACGGGCTTTCACGTGGCGTTTCGTGATCGCGGACGTGTCGAAGCCAATAATCGGTGCCGATTTCCTCGCGCATTATGGCCTCCTCGTGGATCTGCGCAATTCTCGCCTCGTCGATCAGCTGACGAGCTTGACCGCATGCGGGCGTTGTATTCATTGCAACGTACCGCAAATTAAGACGATCACAGGGGAGACGCCGTACCACCGGTTGTTGGTGGAATACGCGGACATTACGAGGCCGAGCGGACAAATTCAAGAAACGATCCACGCCACGCGACATTTTATTGAAACGACGCCAGGACCGCCTGTCGCGTGCAGGCCACGAAGACTCGCTCCGGATCGACTCGCGGCCGCGAAAAAGGAGTTCCGACGAATGGTGGAGACCGGAATCGCGCGACCTTCGAAGAGCAGTTGGTCGGCGCCCTTACACATGGTGCCGAAAAAGGGCGAAGAATGGCGACCTTGCGGCGATTATAGAGCACTCAACGCGAGGACGATTCCGGACCGGTATCTTGTGCGACATATTCAGGATTTTGCACAGGCCCTCGGAGGGAAAAAACTATTTTCAACGATAGATCTGGTGCGGGCGTACCACCAGATTCCAGTGGCGGAGGAGCACATCCCGAAGACGGCGATCACCACACCGTTTGGCATGTACGAATTTCCGTACATGTCATTCGGATTGAGAAACGCGGCGCAGACGTTTCAGAGATTCATCGACGAAGTCTTACGCGGATTAGACTTTTGTTACGCGTACGTCGATGACATTCTGGTCGCGTCAACGTCGGAAGAGGAGCATCGAAACCATCTTAGAGCAGTATTCGAACGTCTGCGGGAATACGGGGTGACCATCAACCCCGCGAAGTGCGTATTCGGACAGCAGAAGGTAGAGTTCCTGGGATACGAAGTTTCCGACGGGGGAACACGACCGCTGCCGACACGTGTGGAGGCGATCCTCGCGTGTCGAGAGCCAGGAACGGCGAAGGAGCTGCGACGCTACCTAGGCATGCTCAACTTCTACCGACGATTCCTGCCGAGAGCTGCCGAAATGCTAGCGCCGTTGAACGATCTCCTCCACGGCAATGTCAAAGGAAAAGCGGCGATATCGTGGACACCGCGAGCGCAGGAGGCATTCAAGAATTCGAAGGAGAGCTTGGCACAGGCCGCGCTCTTGCGACACCCCAGGATAGACGCAGAGCTCGCCCTGTTCACTGACGCGTCGGAGCAGAGCATCGGCGCGACTTTGCAACAGCGTGGCAGCGACGGATGGGAGCCGTTAGCCTTCTTCTCGAAGAAGCTAAGCCCATCCGAGATGAAGTACAGCGCGTTCGACAGAGAACTGCTGGCAATCTACCTGGGGGTCAAACACTTTCGATACATGCTGGAGGCGCGCGCGTTTGTGATCTACACGGATCACAAACCGTTGATCTACGCTTTTCGTCAACGACCAGAGAAGAGCACGCCGCGCCAGTTCCGCCACTTGGACCTCATCGGGCAGTTCTCAACCGACATCCGGCACGTGGCAGGCGAGGAGAACGTCGTGGTGGATGCGTTATCACGAGTCGAGGAGCTGGATTCTCCCCTGGACTACGCTGCACTGGCGGAGTCGCAGGGGACTGACAAAGAGCTCGACGATTATACAAGGCGAGAGACCGGAATAAAACTCGAGAAGGTGCAGATTCCCGGAACGGGGATACAAGTCTACTGCGATACGACGACATCGACACCGCGACCGTTTTTGACGAGACCCTTTCGGCGGGCCGCATTCAACTTGGTGCACGACCTGGCACACCCAGGAATCAAGGCGACGGGCAGACTCGTGGCGCAGCGCTACGTCTGGCCGTCGATGAACGCTGACTGCCGCAGCTGGGCGCGTGCATGCGTGCCCTGTCAACGTTCGAAGGTCACTCGACATGTCTCGGCGCCATTAGGAAGATTTGCAGTACCATCGAGCAGATTCGAGCACGTACACCTGGACATTATCGTGATGCCCGTCTCAGAGGGCATGCGATACTGTCTCACGTGCGTGGACCGCTTCACACGGTGGCCGGAGGCGTTCGCACTACGAGACCAGGAGGCGGAGACGGTCGCAAGAGCATTTTACGAGGGATGGATTTGCAGATTCGGGGCGCCCGTGCGAGTAACAACGGACCAGGGGCGCCAGTTCGAGTCCCATCTCTTTCGACGGCTGAGCGAGATGACAGGAGTACAGCACCTGAGGACGACGGCGTACCACCCGCAGGCCAATGGCATGGTCGAGAGGTTGCATCGCCAGCTCAAGGCGGCAATCAAATGCCGGCAGAATGATCGCTGGACGGAGGCGCTGCCGACGGTGCTGCTCGGGATCCGAGCAGCGTGGAGAGACGACCTGCAGGCGACCGCAGCGGAGCTGGTGTACGGCCAGACGCTGAGGATCCCAGGGCAATTCCTGAGCCGACGATCTGTGGACAACGAGGACGACGCGGCCGACTTCGCAAGGACGCTGAGGGAGCAGTTCGAGGAGCTGCGACCGGTGGACGGCACCCGACACGGGGAGCGACGGCCGTTCCTTTACAAGGACCTAGCGACGGCCGAACAGGTGTTCGTGCGACACGAGGGACCGAAAAAGATGTTGCAGGCGCCGTACGAGGGGCCGTACGCAGTCATCAGCCGAGGCGACAAAGTCTTTGTCGTGCGTATGCACGGCAAAGAGAAAACGGTCTCAATAGACCGTCTTAAACCGGCTTATATTTTGCAGAGCGAGCCAGAAAACAACAGCCCGGCAGAGTCGACGGCACGAGACCGGGACACCGAGGTCGAGCAGCGAGGCGCGCGAGAGGACGCGAGGCCGCTGCCCCGAGAGAGCCAGAGAACGACGAGAGCGGGAAGAAAGGTCCGATTCCCGAGTCGTTTCCAGGC